TGGCTTTTGCCATTGACGTTGGAACAATTTGTGCAAATTAGCTGGAATATTCTAAAGTCGTAACGAGTTCTCCGATGGCCTGGAAAACATTCTGTGTCCTAATGCACAGTCATTACTCGTAATATGTTCGAAATGTACTCCATGGAACCCCAGCTTGAAATACCCAGAGATCAATTTTCAATAGACTGACAAATAGATGACATTAAACATTATTCATAGAAACAGTGTTTATTTAATCTTTAATGCTACCTAATGCATTTCGGTCAAAGCCATCAGTTCATGTTCAGGCTTTATTGTGTGGAAAATGGATGTGCTATTAATAAGTCAATACAAATACGAATATGGTTTCAATTGGAAATCATTAGGTTGCATTAAATGGCAAATGAAATCCATAGGAAGGATTTGTTTTATTTTGTTTGTAAGGAGCAAAAGGGGCCCTGAGAGGCATTTCTTTGCCTGGTAATGAGGAGGAATGATTGGTTTCTGCGGAGCGGTGGATTACAGTCTAGGCCTTGCTTTAGTCTCATTAGGTTGGGGATTGGGTGGTGCCTTTCTCTGGCACAGCTGCTGGCTGCTGCAGGCCAAGCTGACGTTGCTGTGTGCTCTGGATGTCAGCTGGTGCTGCCCGCGATGTAGCAGGTGGAGCTGTGCAGGCCCCTGTGCCTGCTCTCCTGCCCGACGCTGGTGGCCCACGTGGACCTCAGCTCTCTCCTGAGGCTGCTGGCTCTTCCGGGGGGTCCTGACCTGGACACATTCACTTTCCTGGCTCCACAGTGGCAGCAGATAAGAACCCGCAGCATTCGCGTGATTAGAAGTTTGTGAGGAAAAAAAAGGCAGACTTTAGCACCTCATCAGGTCCCTTGTCTTACAAGGAGCTTTGTGGGTGAATGCAGCCAACACTGACCTCCAGGCCCCTGCAGCCAATGAGGGTGGATTTAAAAAATTTTTTTTTTGGTTGTAGATGGACACTATATATATATATATATATATATATATATATAAATATGTTATATTTATTTAATGTGGTGCTGAAGATCGAACCCAGTGCCTCACACATGTGAGGTAAGCACTCAACCACTGAGCTACAGCCCCAGCCCCAAGGGTGGATTCTGAAGCAACACAGATCTAGATTCAAATTCCAGTCTCTCCATTTACCATCTGTGTGCCCCAGAGACCCTGCTTTACCTGGCTGGTCACATCTTCAGTAGTCCCCTCTCCATTCTGATGACCTCATGAGATAAGGCATGCAAAATACCAGCAGGTAGGGTCCAGAAACTTTTTTTTTTTTTTTTTTGAGAATAATACTTTGAATATTCAAATAAGGACCCAAGAGAAAAAGATTAATTGTAAGCATCTGTTGGAGCATTTATCCTTCAACTTATCGACCAAGGCTTGATGGAAAAGCCCCTCGTAAGCCTCTGCCTCTCCCTTCTCATCCGGGGAAGTTATGAGTCTGTGCTTGAATGCTTTTCCTGAATCTTCCCTTTATTCCTCTCCACTATGAGGAACTGCAGAAGGAGGTGATGTCCAGGAGGTGATGTCCAGGGCTGCTTGACCCCTTGAATGAGCAACTTCCTCCCACTCTCACTCACCAAGTTCTTTCTTCTGTGACGACATCTCACCTCTCCTGGGCAGCTGGGTTGCTTCTTTCTCAGCATGAAGGAGTCCTGGTCTCAGTGAGAAGTTTGTCTGAAACCAGAGCCCTATGCAGACAGACAGTCAAGCTGCAAGGAAGTTCCAATTTCCAAAGCCTAAAGTTGCTGAGAAAAGTTCCCACCGTCTGCAGAGCATCTGCCAGTGAGGAAGTGTAGTGTTTTGGCACCATCTCCAGCAGATATGGGACAAATGACTGTCAGTCCCAGAGAACGCTCTGGGGAGTCCCGGAGCCCAGTTCAGCACACTGTGTAGGTTCACTTTCTCAGAGCAGATTCAATCTTCTCAGACAAAAACAGATTCTAAGTAACTCTTGTATAGCACTTACCACGCTCCAGACACACACCTAATGCTTTAACTCAGTCCATACTTGCAATTGTTTTCATTTATGGATTAGAAATCCTGAAGTTCGGAAAAGCTAAGCAGGTCATAGTGGAGTGAACATGGGAACACAAGTCTTGCTCTGGAGTATGAATTCTTTTCTTTCTTTCTTGTGGTGCTGGGGATTGAACCCAGGGCCTTGTGCATGCTAAGCAAGCAGCTCTATCAACTGAGCTATAGCCCCAGCCCATGGAGTCTGGATTCTCTAGAGCATTGTTTCATTTCTCATGGTGTCAAGTGTCTGCTCAGGGAGGTGAACCAGATCTGATAGATTTGGAGCCTTCTGCTGGTGCTCAGCCACGGTCTTGTCAAGTTACATGGACTCTCTGAGACAAGTGGGTTAATTTGAACTAGTTGGCAGGGTGGTGAGAGGGTTGAGAGACCAGGACAACATTGTTAAAAGTCTGCCTTATTGCCCAACACATTGCAGACACGGGGACACTTCACACATGATTGCTATTATTAGATTACAACACCAAAACAACAACAAAAGCCTATGTACTTTCTTCTTGAAGATATGCACTTGGTAGCATCTCAGGGCAGGAGGAGTCCCCAGAGGTCATCAGCTCCCACACGCATCCCTTACGGATCCCTCTTTTGTGCCCCCAAACATTTTTTGCACAGGGTCTTGTGGCCTGTTGGGGGCGGCTCCTCCAGACGCACAGCTTTGGAGTCAGCAGACTTGAGTTCAAATCTTGACCCTCTGTGCGGTGTGTGCTCTTCCACTGTGGCCAGGGCCCAGAGCCCTCAGAGCCTCTGTCTCTCCAGCTGTGAAATGCAGGTGATCCTATTTGCCTTCCTGAGCTAGGGCGAGGATTAAGGAGAGGAAGGTGTCCCTGGCATCCGAAACTCAGCAAGCGGGAGCTGCATTTGGGCTTTGCATGCATCTGGTAAGGTCTGGCCACGTGGCTTTTCCTCTTTCCTTGAGACCTGCAGCCTCAGACCATCCTCCCTCCCTCAGGCCAGGCAAGCACTGTCCTGCCATCCTGAATACTTTCTTCCCCAGGCAAAATGGCCCAAGTCTTCAACTCTCTCTTCTAAGCCAGGTTTTGGTCATTTTCCCAGACTGCTGTGCATCTCAGTGAATTTACATGTTCCGCTCTTATGTTGTCGATTTTCATTTATCAGATTGTGGCCAAACCATCGGCATCTTCAATCACCTTGGAGCCTGGGAAGAAAACGAGGATCAAATGCTCCCTTCGCAGGGGCAGTCCCTGGCATGTTGAAGAGCCACGCAGATGACAGAAAGCAAAATGACAGGCATTGCTCTCATTTGACCTCTAGGGAACCAGCAGTCATTTAGGACTTGAAATGTGGGATGCAAATGAGCGTCTGCCTACTCCCTGGCTTCTGGAAAATGGCTTTCATTCTCCGAGGTGATTACAGTAAATTACACCTGGAAGAGAGAACCCAGGATGAAGCCCCCAAGTGCCAGGAATTAATGGAGGAGTGCTCAACACCCCTGGATGTGTTGTGGACGTGGAGGAGCGAGATGGAGACAGGCGGAGAGAGTATTTAATAGATTAATTAGGAACTGAAACTGGCTTAGCCCTCCCTTTATTGTGACAGTTTCTGAGTGCCTGAGTCTTAAGTATAGGAATAATATGGATCATCATTAGCACTTTACCTGGGGTTTCTAGAAGTGAATATATTATCCTAATATAACTTCCATAGATACTTAACAGCAACGACAGAGCTTCTTCTGTGTCCTAGAACGTATCATGAATTAAGTGGGGTGAAATGAGTGGAGCGATTACTGGTTTCCTTAAAAAAAAAAATGGTTCTGGTATGTGCTTGGCTTTCCAGGATAAAAGTGGAAGAGAGTGATGTTATAAGGCCCTAAACAAAGGGAAGCTTTTCTGACATTGTTCACTGAGAAAGTCCAAAAAGGAGCCAGGAAATTGATATGAGGGTGGCAGTATAGTTGGGAGGAGGAAAAGTTCAATGAATAGGATCATTTAACCTAAAGCAGGTCAGCCCCGGGGGCCATCTAATCCGGCTGGAAGAGCAGTGGGCGTCCTGCCGGGCAGAGTCTCTCTTTGTGGGCTGAGAACAGATCAAGCAGGGAGGGAATGAAATTGTAGCACCAAGGACTTAGGTAAGTTATAAACGAGAAGATTGAGGGGAGGTTATCCATCTGCAAAGGGTTATTTAGGGAATGCACAGAATTGCTTGGTTCGGATTTTGGAGGCTTCAAACCCATGCTTCCAGGACGCTGGAGAGGGGAGTCTTGCTGGAAAGTGAACCAGGTGGCTTGGGCCTGCTTCTCCTTGCAAGTTTCCTGCTGCCTCCTGATTAGGAATGTTTCCTGGCAATACCATCAGTTGGGTACCTGGATACCAGAGGAGTTTGTCAGGAAATGAACTAACCCCTTTCCTTAGGGGATAGTAGCCCTGGGCAGGTGGCACAAGGGCTCTGCCAGGAGCACTCTGCCCTAAAGTCCCTCAGAAGTGGCTGTAGTTTCCAGAGGGCAGTTCTGGGCTTTGCCTGCTCAGGAGCTAGCTGGCTACATGCTGCTCAGCTTCAGATGAGACTGTGCAGTTCAGAAGGTAGGAGATGGGCTTTGGATTTGGTGACCATTTTCTTACTGATGACTTACATGTACAGAAAGGACAAGCTAGCTTTAAATGGCTACAAATGGCACAAAAGTACTTGCTGTGAATGAATAGGAAAAGATTCAGGTATCTCTGTGTGTGGGTATTCTCCTATGTGTGTATGTATGTACATATGTATGCATGTGTTTAAAGAAAGTTGACCATAACGCGTTCATGATCATTAAGCTCTCCAAAGTCACCATGAACACTGAATTAGCTAATAGCAAACCACGGCTTCTAGGAAAAATGCAGGGCGAGGTTCCCGTGAGCCTCCACTCACAGGATTTTTGTTAGCTAATCAGTATGTAACCTTGTTTTACTCGTGTTTCTGTTAAAGGCACCTTATTTAATGCCTATCTTTGATTCATCAGCATGAAACTCAAACCAACAGCACTGAAGCACATGTGACCGGGAGGTCACAGCCTCAGTGTGTGAAGGAACCAGGCATCAGCCTCATACCTTGGAGGACACTTTAAATGCAAAATCACTACTGAAAAAAAGCACAGGAAGTGAAAACACGTGCCAGATGGATTTCACAGTCCCTCCCCAAGTGTGGGAGCTGGGAGAAGAAGGCAGAGCTTTCCTGCTCAGTCTGGGATGGGAGCCTTGGGAGACTGAATTTTGGCTGCTCTGCGCGTGTTTAAGAATGACCTTGAAATCACGTGAGTACTGATTTGGAGGTTACCAATACATTTTAGTGAACAGGCAAATTCACAGAGTCTTGAATAATGAGGCTCAACTGCATAGAGAAAATTGATCACGCCTTCATGGGACGCTATCTTTCAAGGGACTGGGTAAAAGACACTGATTAAAATCCTTTTGTTGTTTTCGCAACATGCTTCATAGACACGCCACACCAATCCATCGCGACCCTTTGAACAGGGACAGTAGCTGCAGAGCAGTGGCCTGTGCCGGGCTGATACCAGGATGGGCAGGACGATGACTCCCACGAGGAGCTAAAAAGGCCAGGTGGTGAGAGTGGACAAAAACCTTAGAGCCATTTTGGAGAAAGGGCTGTTGGGAGAGCAGCCTGGGGTCAGCTTCTGGGAGGAGGCAAAGGAATTGTTCCTTCAGGAAATGGGAATGTTTGGACTGTAGACAGACACAATAATTTTTGTGCATGGACGTTGTATTGTGTGTGTGAGTGTGTTGGGTGTGTGCTGTATTTTGTGTGGGTGTGTTTATGGGGTAGGAGTGTGTGTAGCAGCTCCGGGTGGAGCAATGGTGGCCAGGGGCCATGTTTTGAGGAACTACATGAGGTAGTGGGTCATGGTCGGAGTCAAAATCCATTAAGCCCTTTACTAGCTGTGCCACCGCAGACAAGTGCCCTCCCTTCTCGGTGCCTCAGATTCTCATTTGTAAAGTGTGGCTAACCATAGCAGTTCTCTTGGAGGACTGTTGTGAAGTGGAATTGAATTAATACTCCCAGAACAGTTAACAACAAAGTCTGGCACAGCCCAATGCTAAGGGGCCAGGGAGACGGAGATGGGTGGCTGAAGGAGAGGAGGGCTTGGGGCCAGGCCAACTGGGATGGGCGCTACCCCCAGCGATGGAGCTGGGGGAGTCCGGAGCAGGAGGAGGTGTGGGGAGTGGGTTGCAGGAAGGGGCTGAGGTGGAGTCCAAGTGCTGCTGTGGTGAGTGGTGAGGGTGGGGGAGGGGCCCAGCCACACAGGTGAGTGCGGGAGGGTGCGGCAAGAAGGTGGCCTTGCTGGCCTATGTTCCCGGAGGCCAGCCTGGCCATGCTCAGCTTTCCAGGGCTGCCCTCTACATGTGGAACTCAGGTTCTGAGAGGTCCACTCGCCACCGGGGCAGTGATAGTCCTCTCCTCCTCACTCAGTGGTGGATTAGAATGTCATGGGGCCCTCTGAGTCACTCTTCCTCACCAGACTATGTGACACACAGGACAAGCCCTTGTCTCCATCTTATCCCCAGCACCCAGCACCCCTATTGCATCGTGATACTTGTTGAATTTGTGGAGAAACTGGGACCCCCAGGCAAAGGACCAGAGTTCAGTGTTTCCAGTTGGTGGGTGGTCCGCTGGCATGTCCCCTGGTTTGCTTCAGCTGGGGGCTCGTAGAGGTGTCAGCCAGTACTCCTTTGTCCTCAGGGCTTCTGCTGGCCTTACTTGTCAGTGCCTCTCTCCTCCACTGCTCCTGGCCTGGTGTCGACTGCTTTCCTTCAACTGGTAGTATCCTGCCCACCTGGTGTAAAGAGGTCGCTGTGGGCTGTCCTAGGTGGCACAGGGAGAGGGGAAGTTGCTTTGGTCAGATTTTTCTATTTGTTAGCTAATTTCTTTCTTCAATGCTAAGGGTGCCTCACACATACCAGATAAGTGCCAGGTAACTGAGCTCCGTCGCCAGTCGTGCTCAGATATTTTTAGAACTGAACCTTGATAGTGAAAGATGACTCTCTTCTTGGAAATGGGCACATAAATGGGAGACCGTGTTCTTTCAGATGGGACCCAGGTGGAGCAGGGCTTCTGGGCAGAGGGCTCCCCTGAGCGACTCCTGCTTGTAAAGCCATCCTGACTCTGGTGTTGTGTCTTGAGAGGGCACGTGATTTGCATCTAGCTAGACCCAAGGTTAGGGAAAGCTGCGCCTGAATCTCCATTACTTTGTCTACAACAAGAATGAAAATCACACCTACTGATCCTTCAGGGCTGTCGTGAGGATTAACAAAAGTGAAACTTCTGAGTCCAAGACCTGATGGCCCCTGCCTGCTCGGAGGGGGCCCTTCTTCTCTTTCCTTCCTTCTCCCCCCCAACACTTTTTTCTTTGAACATCATCTCTCCATCTGTGATGGGTATGGTAAGCTCTCTCTTACAGGAAGTACTGGAAAAAGTTCAACCACGGCAGGAGGCATGGAGATTTCAGATGGAGGGACTAGACAGGCGATGGTAGCTACCGTGGCACTGGTTAGAGAAGTCGGCACTGTGCCTCTGCGTTGTCCTGCTCACACATAGCAGCCGAAGCAAAGGCACCACTGCCTTGTCTGGTGTCTGTTATTTTCAGTTATGGCCCAGAGAGATTGATTGTCTTCTTCAAGACATCATAGCTGGTTCTGGAAGATCTGAACCTGGACCTCCATTCCCATTCTGTCATTCTGTCCTTCTAGACACACACACACACACACACACACACACACTGTTTTCTATGTTTCAAAAAACGACATCTGGCCAGGAATCACATTGCACAATGCAGCCCTTTCTTTATCCCTTCCTGCGTGCGAGCCCTGGTCCTGGCCTCTGAAGTGTTTGCACTGCCACTTTGCCCGAGGGACTTACTCAGAAGAAAGGAAGCAGGATAAGTGGACGGATCATACACTCTGGAGCACACTGCCGGCCCCACTGTGCAGAGCAAAGATGTGCAGGTTTCAAAGTGCCCCCGCCTCCCTGTCCTCCAGGACCCTGCACCTCTACTAATGCCCCAGTGCTCTCAATACACAAGCTGCTCATGACCAAAGGTCAGTTTCCTGCTAAAACAAGCTGACTTCTTTTGCTCTGGAGGACAGCACTGTGGGCTGGCTGGCAGGTCTTCATCTGCCATGGCTGTGGCCAATTCCTTGAATCAGGTAATCTTTTCAGAGAGAGTTGTTATTTAGAATCAAAACCAAAGTAATAAAATAATACTCACAAAATGAAGCAGCAGGGGCTGTTTTAGAATGTTGGGTGAACCTCTCTTATGCTTATTTTCATGCTCTGTTGCATCCCATTTAAAAATTCTCAGTGATTCCATCTCACTGCAGTCACAATGGCAATTATTAAGAATACAAGTAACAGTAAATGCTTACCAGGATGTGGGAGAAAAGGTTCACTCATTCATTTCTGGTGGGACTGCAAATTGGTGCAACCACTATGGAAAGCAGTATGGAGATTCCTCAGAAACTTGGAATGGAACCACCATTTGACCCAGCTCTCCCACTCCACAGTTTATTCTCAAAGGACATACTGTAGTGACATGCCCTCATCAATGTTTACAGCAGCTCAAATCATAATAGCTAAGCTAACAAACTAGGTGCCCTTAAACAGATGAATGGATAAAGAAAATGTGGTGTATATATATACACACACACACAATGGAATATTATTCAGCCATAAAGAAGAGTGAAATTATGGCATTTGCCTGTGATTGGATGGAACTGGAGAACATCATACTAAGTGAAATAAACCAATCTCCCCCAAAACCAAAGGCCGAATGTTCTCTCTGATATGTGGATGCTAACACACAATAAGGGGGACCTCATGGGGGAAGAATAGAAGCACTTTAGATTAGACAAAGGGGAATGAAAAGAAGGGGAAAGACGGAATAGGAAAGAGAGTGGAATGAATCAGACATAACTTTCCTATGTTAATATATGAGCACATGACCAGTGTAATTCCACATCACGGGCAGGAAAGAATGGGAAGTTATACTCCACATGGGCATAATATGTCAAAATACATTCTATTTTGTACAACTAAAATAGTTATGTATAACTAAACATGTTGGTTATACATCTCTAACTGTCAGATAGAACTAAAAAGAACAAATAAAAAAGTTTTAAAAAATCCTCAGTGCAGGTGGGACTTAAGGGAGCCCCAGTCTCAGAGGATGGTTCACCTTCCTGGAGACATGGAAGACGGTGGCCTCTCCTGGATGCTTTCTCCTCTGTGAGAGTACCATAACCCCTTGTGCCTTTGTGTGATCTGCTCTGCTCTAGAGCATTGCAGTTGGAAGATGTGGACATGAAGCCAGGTGAGCATGAGCTGCAAGCTGGGTGGAAAATCCCGAGTCCAAGGGAGCACTGCGTTTCCTGTCAGGAGGGAGAGATGGCCATGAGCTTTTGAGACCTCCTGACCACAAGGTGGCGTTCATTCTACCTCCATGGGTTCCTCTGCAAGCTTCCCACATGCCCCAGGGGGGGACTCTGGGGACTTTATGCATCTCCTGCCTTCCGCTGTGATGTAGCTGCGCACCTTGTAGGTGGGGAGTCCCTGTGGGGTTTCAGGTATTTGCTCAAGGTTATAGAGTGGAAAGTTGATAGCTGATTTCCCTTCCCAAACCCCAACATGTAGCTGTTTGCCCAGGGCCCCGTATTTGGAATGGAGGGGTATCAAGGAAGGAGTCCATTGCTAGAGGGGAGATGAAGGGAGGGAAGTGCTGAATGAGTATCTAACCACACAAGTGTGTTGGGGGACACACAGCAGCGCAGGAGAGGAAGACGGAAACTTATTATAGGGGGTTTGTGAAGGAAGTCACATGGGATGGGACAGGGTACAAAGGGAGGTCCTGGGAGGCTTCTTGAGGAGGTAGCAATTGAACAGGATCTTGAAGAATGCACTTATTCACCCATTCCTTCCTCCCTCCCTTTCTTCATCCATTCATCCATCTACCACCCATTTACCCATTCATCCTTCCTTCCATTCTCTCATTCCTCCATTGATCCATTCATCCATTGATGCCAGGGACTGCTCCAGATACGTTCACAGACATTGCTTGTTTAATCGTCGCAATTCTGTTGGGTAGGTACTAGTGCCTCAAACTTGTAGGTAAGGAGCCTGAGTCCAGGCAGCAAAATTGTTCTCCCTTTACCACTTTCTTTCCAGTCTACCTCATCTTACATCAAGGAAGAGACCTTTCCTTATCTTCAAAAGCCACCTGCTTCTGCTTCAGTAGCCTTGTGC